CATGAATCCATATTGATTTTCAAGCTGCAGAAATTCTTTTGAAAGCACGAGGATATACAAGAAAGTATATCCACCAGCAACGACACTCGTTGAAAATATCTGACGGAATCTGAGGCTCTTTAACTAACTTTTATAAGAAGAGCTCCAGAAAATGGTAATTAGGCCTCTTTGTATCCACCTCTGAGGTACTTTAATGCAAATGAAGATTGTCGCTCCTTCTGTTATCCTCTACAAGTATTCCCCCCGACTACTCTTATAAGAGTCGGCGAATTACCTAGTCATCTAGAAGCCAAACAAAGAACATAATTTGAATAGTGTGAACCTATTTTTCTTTATTTCGTAGCAATCTTGGAAACAGGTGGAAAATTAATTTAGTTAAATATGAGCAAATATTTTGAGCCTTTTTATAACGGACTATATAATATTTGCCCTTGCGAATAGGGTACAAAATACAGGGATATATTTACTCTTGGAGTCCTGAATGTATGTAATTTGCAATGCGATTTTTGTATAAATAATTTGCACGAGAATAACCCTTTGTTACTACATTTTTTTAAATCTATTTTTAAATAGGCTCATAAATATGGGAAAAGAGGGAAGGTTACAATACGAATACAAATATTCTTGGAATTTTGTTGGCGAATAATTTACGTTGAGAAATTGCAAGCACAGTTTTTTAAAAGCATTATATAGAAAAAGAGTTAAAATACGAAGATAAATATTTCTGTAACTTTGCCTGAGAATAATTTGCTTTGCAAAATTGTAAGCATAGTTTTTAAATGCATGGCATAGGAAAAAAGGAGTTAAAATACGAAAATAAATATTCCTGGAATTTTGCATATCACTATTTTGTGTTGAAAAATTTCAAACACAGACTTCTAAAATATCATATTTGAGAAAGGGGGCTACCCAATCCCATTGAAACAATTTATCTTTAGTTCTTTTCGATTTATTTACACTTTAGATTCATAAATACAGTCATAAATCAAACCAGTCAACTTCCCCGATTCTTAACCAGGAGATTTTCTAAAATATTTAAGATGGTAGTAAATTTTATGATATATATATATATATATATATATAGTGGATGACACGTTAATATGGCGGTCTGATACTCTAAGCCTAAATCAATGGAGCATCAGATTTCAAACACTCAAAAATGGGAAAATTGGCCAACCGGAGGCCGGAAAAGACTCACCAGGAATGCCTTGCGGGATTACAAGTTGAATTTAATTAACTTCGTGGTGAAAAAATGGATATTTATTTCTTTTAGAAGATGTTTTTGAGGACTCCATAGAAGTTGTTG